ATGACCCTTGCGGAACCTCGCTCGTCACAGGCGCCCACTCTGACACCTCGTCACATACCATCACTCGTTGTTTCCTTCCTCTCAGGTATTCTCTGATTCGTTGTAGTGCTTTTCCTGTTATTCCTGCCTGCTTCTCTAGCTTTTGCACTAATCTCTTGTGCAGAACTGTGTCAAAAGCCTTCTTACAGTCCAAGAAAATGCAGTCTACTCATTCCTCTCTCTCTCTCTCTCTCTCTCTCTCTCTCTCTCTCTCTCTCTCTCTCTCTCTCTCTCTCTCTCTCTCTCTCTCTCTCTCTCTCTCTCTCTCTCTCTTGCCTTACTTCTGTCACCATATCATAAAACTCCAGTAGGTTTGTAACACAGAATTCCCCCTCCCTGAAACCATGCTGATTATGGTGCATTAGCTCAATCTTTTCTAAGTGTTCCACCACTCTTCACCCGGTATTATGCCGGGTGAGCGTCCCGGGATAATGACATAATGAAAATCAAAGGCCTATCATACATGGGGGTCTTTTTTCGTCATTGCATTATGCCGGGTAGCAGCCGTTAGCATGATGTCGCGACCTGCTGCCACACACCACAGTGACTCCTCAGTGCTCACTTGGCTGCCATGGTGAGAGGAAGTGTTGCACTTTTGTCTCTCATCTGCCCCATCCTTTGTACAGTGTTCCTTTGGTTTTGGGGCCATACATGTTTGATTATGGGTAAAAGGAAGTCTTTAACACCTGAAACTATAGCTCAAATCATAGGGCATCACAAAGCTGGGCACCAGACGAAATAAATAGTGGAGAATGTTGGTGTGTGTGAGTATTCAGTGAGGAACTGGGTGCAGTGTTTCAAGGCTGATGGCGGTGTCAAGTTACCGTGTGCCAAACCTCGGCCTGGCCCCTGGAAGAAGTCATCTGTTCTTACCTTAACCGTGTTAAGGTGGCCTGATCGCTAAAGCTTTTCCTTCACACGGCAATGGTCTGCGTTTGATTCCCCGCACAGGTAGAAACATTGGACGTGTTTCTTTACACCGGTTGTGTATGTTAACCCATCAGTAAAATGGGTACCTGGGAGTTAGTCGACTGGTGTGGGTCGCATCCTGGGACAAGGAGCTATTTGCCTGAAATGTTCAGCATAACAAGGGGCTTTCTATATAGTAGTATGTCATTGATGTCAGCTAGGACTGTATACCATGTACATGTACCTGTAGTAAATAAAAATATTATTATTATTATTATTAAAGAAGCAGTTAAAGAGTACACCTAAGATAACTGCTAAAGAAGTGAAAGAAAAGAACCTACATCTTTTCTCAGAGGTGTCTGTAAGAACTGTTAACAGTAGTGTGTCATAACTGGGCTACAGTAGTCACCACCAGGTTAAGAAACCGATCTCTCCAAGCCACAGAAGAAACGTAGGCTGGATTATGCAAAGGAATATCTTCACTGGAATCCTCAACAGTGGTCTGAAGCACTTCAGAGTGATGAAGCAACTTTCACCGTCACCTGTAACCATGGGGGACATGTTCACCGGCCCAGAGGTAGTGACCCACTAGACCCACACCTCACCGTTGGCACCACCAAACACCCAAACTCGCCCATGGTTTGGGGGTGTTTCAGTGCTCAGTGTTGGTGAACTCATTGTGCTTCCCCAAAACCAATATGTGAACCAGTATAATACCCTGGAGTTATTGTGTGACAATTTATCTGAGGCGTTTGACAAGTGTGGGGCTATGTTTTTTATGCATGACGGTGCACCGTGCCATACTGCTAAATCTGTAGTTCAGTGGCTTAAGGACTGTGAAATGAGGTTCTTTAATGACTGGCCAGGGAATTCCCCAGATCAAAATCCTATTGAGAACCTCTGGTCAATAGTGAAACAAAGTTTACTGGGCAAGAATATCAGTTCCATCCTGCGGCTGGAAGCTGCTCTACATGAGGCATGGAATAATATACCTCCTCAAATCCTCAATAATTTGTGTGAGTCTTATTAAAGGACACAGCACCAAGTATTAAAACCTCAGTAAGTGTGCAAATATATTATAATCTTTCATGGTATGTGTTTGTGTTTTGGTACGTGTGTGGAGGGGCGGCATAATGCCGTGACTAGCACTGTATATATTTCAGTGACACTGATCTGCTGCCTGTCTATCTCATTCCTTAAAGACTGGGACTACATTTGCTGTCTTCCACACCTCAAGTAGTTACCCTGTTTTGATAGATGTGTTGAAGATTGTTGTTAGTGGCACACATAGTACCTCTGTTTCCTCTCTCAGGGCCCACAGAAAGACGTCCGGTCCCATCCCCTTTGAGGTATCTAGCTCACTTAGCAGCCACTTCACCTCCTCCTCTGTTGTGTGTGTGTAGTGTGTCCAGCACTTACCGGTGTAACCTACCATCCCGGTTTGCTGGAGTTCTTTCCGTTTCCACTAAAAATACTTTTTTAAATCTCGTGTTGAGCTCTTCACATACTTTTTGGTCATTTCTTGTGATCTTCCCTCCTTCCTTCCTCAGCCTGATTACCTAGTCCTTGACTGTTGTTTTCCTCCAGATGTGGCTGCACAACAGCTCTGGGTCAGATTTGGCTTTCGATGCCATTTCATTCTCGTATTGCCGCTGGGCCTCCTTCCTTATCCATGCATATTCGTTTTCTGGCTCTTTGGCTAATCTCCTTATATTCCTGGAATCTTTTTCTTGTATACTTTTTCCATTCTCTAGCACACTTAGTTTTGGCCTCTCTACACCTTTGGGAGTACCAAGGGTTCATTCTGGTTTTTCCATTGTTTCTGTTGCCCTTAGGTACGAATTTCTCCTCTGCCTCCCTGCATTTTGTGGTCATATATTCCATCATTTCATGTATTGTTTTTCCCACCAGTCCTCTTTCCCACTGTATTTATGCAGGATTCCTCATTCCTGTGCAGTCTCCTCTTTTGTAGTTTGCCTTCTCCTGTCCTACTCAAGTTGCTTCATTCTTCACTTTTAACTTTACAATGTATTTGAAGCTCAGGACCCCATTGTCTGAACTACTCAAGGCGAATATGAGGGCCAGCCTTGCTGGGTTATCTCTCTCTCTGGTAGTGTCCCTAACATGTTGATGCATGAGGTTTTCCAGTACCACCTCCATCATCTTAACTCTTCACATTTCTGGTCCTCCATGTGGCACCAAGTTTTTGTATATGTGACTAAAATCACCCACAACTAGTAACTTTGCTCTACCCATATGGCTCTATTGCTCTCATCATACTTTTGTCTTGGCCTCCTGCTAGTCTGTGGCAGGGTGTAAATCACTGAAATCACCACCTTGGGACCCCTAGTCTGAAGTGTTCCTACTCTATAGTCCCTTGCTTCCTTTCTGTACATTCCTTCCTTTTTGTCAATTCCTTCCATTTCTTCAGAACTCCACTGGTTTTTGATGAGCAGAACAACTCCTCCTGCCCCTCTGTTCCGTTTTTCCTTAGGATTTGATATCCGGATGGAAGGATCACATCTCTTATCCTCATGAGCTTTGTTTCCTTGAGTGCTATAATGTCTGGGGATGCCTCCATGATTCTTTTTTGCTACTCCTCACATTTGTTATTCCGCCTGCATTAGTGTACCATACCTTCAGCTCCTTTTCCAGTACTGTGTTCTGGGGACTTTGGGGACTGGGGAAGTGGGGGACCTGGAGGGTTGCTGTGAAGGTGGAGTTTGTGATGGGGGGGGGGGGGAGTCTTTGGATGCAGAGTGTGGGTTGTTTTGGGTTAATTTGTCTGGTTACAGTGAGGTTGCCAGGGTTGAGAGTGTTCTGTGGGTGATGGTGGCAGGGGTTGTGTTTGTTGGTCCTCCTGGTTTTGGTGTCTCCTTCCCATCTCTATCCTTGACTCTCATGCCCCTTGTGTCTTTGTATCCTCTCTCAGTTTCTGTTGTTCTCATGCTCTGTCGTGATCAAGGTACACCTGCTGGCAATCTGATTAGGCCCTTAGTCGTGGCTACTGCTGCAGGATCCTGTTTCACACCATTTCTGAATTGAAAATCAATTTGACTGGAGGTTTTCTTTTCCTATTGAGCATCCCCCTATTCAATGAAAATTTGTCAGCTGAGTCATATCTTTCTCTCCTGTTTGTGTCATGATATTTTCAATCTTTTTCCTCCCCGTCATCTTTGTATGTTGTCCCTTTGACCTCCCAAACCCATGAACAAAGACTGACCTCTCCCTTTCGTCCTCCCATTGCATTTCCCTTCATGTCTCAGGGTCGAATTTAAGCATCTCCATTGCTGTTTTCTTTAACAATTACTGGCAATCACAATGGCATGATAACACCTCTGCAAGGGACTTATCTCCTTCCTTTATTTCGGTCCCCTTTCTATCTGGTGTCCCTGCACCCAATGATATACCACTTTCCTCGACTTTTCCTGGGGCCCCCAGTGGTCTGTGTAGAATTGATTTTCTTCCCTTTCTTCACTCCCCTCGCTGGTTACTGATGTTCCTTTCCCTGATGCCATGCCTGAGCTGATCTTCAGCTCTATATCCCATTTCAGCATTTTTGGTTCCTCTTCTAGGCTCTGTATCCTAGCCTCTGCAGCTGCAGCTTGTAGTTCCCTCTTCTTGCTCTCTGCAGCCAACTTCTCCTCCACTGTATTGTTAAACTCATCTATTATCCTTTCCCACTCTAGTTCCTTTTGCCTGAGCTCTGCTGTCTATTCTTCTTTCCCAGACCACTTTTCCTCAGTTTTCCCTGACTCTTTTCTGGTGTGTTCGTATGTTTGCGTGCGTGTGTGTGTGTGTGTATGTGTGTGTGTGTGTGTGTGTGTGTGTGTGTGTGTGTGTGTGGTGTGTGTGTGTGTGTGTGTGTGTGTGTGTGTGTGTGTGTGTGTGACCATGCAAATAAATTATTTTTTGACCTTCTGATAGAGAGACTTATTATAGTAACATTACTGAAATTGAAATGAGAAAGATAAAGCTTACGTATAGAAGGGTATAGATATTAATCTCTAGATATTCACTTTATCATATCAGGAAACAATATTTATTTTTAGGTCACAAGGGTCAATCAATCCTCGGACCTCAAGTTGGATGAGTTTGGCAGTTACACAGTGAGGTCGATTCCCAGGGGCCACGTTTACGTTTTCAACTACAAGTTCCCTCCCCCATACCAGCGAGCTGGAGCTGAACACGACTCCACCAATATTCGTGAAATCTTCACTGAGCTGGGCTATAAGGTCTTTATCCACGAAGACCTCACCAAAAAACAAACGCTTGACACAATCAAAGATATTCAAAAGGACCCAAAGTTGCACAATGTAGATTCCTTCATAGCTTTCTTCTTGAGCCATGGAGAAAATGCTTACGAATTTCAGACCTATGACAAGAAAAGATTAGAACTTAAGAATCTTAGGAGTGAGTTTTCCAGCACAAAATGTCCACAACTGAAGAAGAAACCGAAAATCTTCATGGCCAACTACTGCCGGGGAAGAAGCATAGAGAAAGTGGATTTTGACGACAAAAGAGTCGAAGTCACACAAGACATTGTGACGATTCATGCAACCACAGAAGGAGTGATGGCGCTCAGGTCCCGTGACAAAGGCACTATCTTCATCAAATGTCTGTGTGATGTGCTGAGGGACATTAAAGGCACCATAGACCTGAGGACAATTTATGGCAGGCTGTACCTTAGCATGATGCGCTGTGGAGGCACAAAACCCATGTGGGAAGACGTGGGATTCAGAAACTTTTACTTTCAAAGATAATTATGCACTTGTCTTTGTAACATAACTATATCCCACCAGCTTTCTTTAAAAGATAACGTTTATACCACCAAGCGTAGTTGCTTTTAAAGAATGTCGCAGACATCGCGGGATAGATATAATCAACTGTACCAAGATATCTTCACTTGACTTTACTGATTCACTGTCCTTCCCACCTCCAAAAATCAAGTCCTGATCGTTGAATTTCTTGCTTTCATATACATTACCATGTTCATACTCCAAAAGCATGTGAAATACCAGGGACCGCTATTTTTCTTCACTTACTCCCCTCATTTACACAATATTTAAACAAACCCTTAACCTGTCTAATTTCTTTCGTCATGCCCTAACCATCTCAACAATCTCTCTCTCATTTTTTAATTATGTGTCTTACCACAGCAATGATGGTATGAAATATATCTTATATATGGGAATTTCAAGATTTGCGACTGAGAAATGTTTTAAGAGAACAATGCACGTGTTATTCCTTGGTATATATATGTATATATTAAACCTAGAATAATCATATGATTATAAGTAATGTGTTACGAGCTTGTGTCATTATTTTCCACCACACTTATCGTTTCATACTCAGGAAGACCCAAGGAAGGAAACACAGTCATTCTCTCTCCTCTAACACACTTTATTCACGTTCTTATGAGGGAACTGCAACATGAAAACTCCGGAAGTGTTGCAGGTGAGTGTGGGATTCTCACACCCCAGCACCTGTCTTGTCAGGAGGTGGGTGTGAGGGACTCACACCCCAGCACCTGTCTTGTCAGGAGGTGGGTGTGGGGATGACTCACACCCCAGCATCTGTCTTATCAGGTGGGTGTGTGGGACTCACCCCAGCATCTGTATTTTGTCAAGAGGTGAGTGTGGAGGACTCGCGCACCTCAGGTCTTGTCTAGGTGGTGCCTTCATTGTGAATGGCTCTTGATCCAGGGAATTAGAACTATCCTCATCATCCTAGAATCCAACCTAATTGTTTCTCATTGCCAGGTACTGCAAGATGACTTAAGAATTTAGTGTTTCCCGGTGAAACAAAGAACTTATACTAGGTACTGAAGATTTAACAAATGCAAGATTATCTGGTACTCATATTAGTATTATAATCAACTGGAAGTGCTAAACCTACCAGGGTCATACAGTGCTCTAGAGTAGGAAGTGATGCAGGATCTAATGATAAATAAGAGTGGAGATGACAATAGAGGTAAAGTTAGGAGGGGCTGTGAGGAGTGCTAAAGGAAGGATTATCAAAGTTTGTGTAATAAATCAGTTGCTGTCAAAAAGTCGAAGATGGAGTCTGTCAAATGGGGGAAAATAAAGTAAGGGAGTTAGAGCGGTGACAGCGTCGGAGGAGAATTCTGCATGTTCGTTGATAGACAGGACAGTCCAAGAGAATATGAGAAATTGAAACAGGAACTAGACAATTCTCACAAAGTGGAACAGGACGCCTCTCCATGAAATACCCATGAGTTAGACGAGTGTGTCCCATGCGAAGACGAGAATGTTATCTCCCAACCTCAGTGGCATTCCTATACTCCACTGCTACTCTCATACGCCATCACTAGTACTATTATACTCCACCACCAGTACTACCATACTCCATCACTAGTACTCTCATACTCCATCACCAGTACTGTCATACTCCATCACTAGTACTATCATACTCCACCACTAGTACTCTTGTGATGTAATTCAACTATGCTTGGCAGGTCGTTAAGGGAAACCTAATTTAACCAATTATATGGTCACACCTTGCCTTAACAAATGGATGTCAGACACGCATTTTCGGCTTAAGTCTGAGGTCTTTTGTTCTTGACGGTGTCAGACATCGGTGTCAGGTCGTAACACGTGGTCTACGCCTTACAGGGAATGGGGTGTTTAGAGTACCATATAAGCCAGGGAACAGTTGAGCAAGGAAATTGTTGGAGACATTTCCCAAGCTTCACTGGATAGTAGTAAATGTCGCGATTGGCTTGACCTGAGGAAAAGCAGTAGCTAGCTCTTGTGCCACCACCATGCAAGAGGTGGAAGTTGACGTGTGAGGCTGAGTGGATGAAGGGTGGCCTTGGTGCCTGAGGAGTATTGTCGTGGTGAAGATAAGCTGCTTGTTGAGTCGTGAAGTTCCCAGATGCAGTGCTTTCAACGAGAGGGACCTGCATGAGCGTTCCTAAACGCCAACGAAGTCCACACAATGAGACATGGCCCAATTTAGGAAGTGCCAGGGTCGGTCAGAAGCCCTGGCTAACCCCTCTTCTAGTAGAAACAGTAGACAGATCTGGAGGTGAGATGACAAGAATACGGCAGTATAACACAATGGCCCTATGTCCTCCTCCGTCGACCCCTTCATATTTCTGCTGCCCTTGCCCAAGGAGTTATAGAGAGCTCCCTGGGTCAATAGCCTGCACCCTAGTCAAGCCAATCGCAACATTTACTACTATCCAGTGAAGTTTGGGAAATGATGTTTAGAGTGGTATTAGTATGGTATCTATCTCTACTGGTAGGGGATGATCTATTTTATGTCAGCTGTTGGGAAAATTAAGTGTTGTATATTATGTGAGCTAGCTCCTTGCCAGGAGGGATCACATTATAGATAGGATGTATTTCCTTTTCAGGTGGAAAACTGTAAACAAAAATCTTTTCAACATTAGAAGAGGATTCATTTATGTGAGGGATGGGAGGTTTTCTTTTAGTTCCTAGAAATGGGATAATGATGGGTCTTGGTTGTGATTCCTGCCTTGTCACGAATGGTCACTGAAAGGTGCAAGAAAAATGTGACAGTGTGGTCGTGTAATGGTTCAGTTGCAAGTACTTGAAGGAATAATACCCGCTGGAGCTATTTTCTACGCCAGGAAAACTTTACGAGGTTTGGCTCAATGGTTAATCAGCGAGGGTGACTACAGGAGCTAGTTTATTTCTAGTAAAGTACAAGAAGGCACTGGAGCCCGATATTTAGTTTTAAGGAGACATGACGGATAAGGAGGTTTCGCACCAGAGTCATTGTTATTTGTTTCTTGTGCTAGAATTTATTAACTCTACTTATCTGTGTGATTTCATATTATTTGCTATTGTACTGTAATAGAATTAAGGGGTTAGGATTAAAATAGTCTAATAACTTATGACAATTATTATTATTATTATAATCAAGGGGGAAGCGCTAAACCCGGAGGATTATACAGCGCCTGGGGGGGGGGGATGTGGAAGGCATTCAGGCTTAATTCGGGGAACTGGAGCACAGATCCAATTCCCTAAATCAAGAGCCCCTCACCAACATCAAGGAACTTTCCTTGAGGGGAACTTATGACAAATTGTCCTAGTTCTCAGATATTTTAAACTGGGGTGATGTAGTTCAACTATGCATGGTAGGTCGCTAAGGGAGACCTAATTTAACCAATTATATGGTCACACCTTGCCTTAGCAAATGGATGTCAGACACGCCTTTTCGCTTAAGTCTGAAGTCTTTTGTTCTTGACGGCATCAGACCTCGGCATCAGGTCGTAACACGTGGTCTACGCCTTATGGGGAATGGGGTGCTTAGATGACCATATAAGCCAGGGAACAGCTGAGCAAGGAGGTTGTTGGAGACAGGTCCAGGGAGTGAGAGCTCTGGAAAAGCCGCGTGTGTAGTGGACCATGCACTGGGAATCTCGGGTCAGCTGGTCGGTGAATTAAGAGTGAGTACTATTCAGTGTTACTGATAACATCTACCTTCCCTCTGGTAATAAATCTCATAGGGCAATTGTTATCTTATGTAAATTTCCATCAGGATATGTCGTATTCTAGCCCTTTTATGTTAAGTAAACTATAACCATAGTTCCCATTTGTATTTGTACCTTCATATGCTATTCCCTTTTCTGTTAAGCACTGGGATTAACACAGGAGACGTGCTCACTTGCTGGGATACTTCAGGCAGAGTGGGTAAATGTCTCACTCTCATACTCCATCACTAGTACCATCATACTCCATTACTAGTACTATCATACTCCATTACTAGTACTATCATACTCCACTAGTGTAGACAGCCATTTCTGTCTGCTAGATTCATATCCTGCGGCACTACGGTGCTGCCCTCTCTAGGCCTGCCCAGGTCAATGGGACGCTATGCTCATTTGCTCTCACTTCACGGCCTACCCTCATGGGTTCAACAATCTCCCCTCCATGGACTGGCTATCGGTCATTCCCTCATTTTGCCCATTGTGTACTCAATCCTTTCCACTTAACGTCAAACTAGTCTATGGCAGTATCTTTGAAACCTACGCTATCCCGTCGGTACTAAACCGCTGTTCAACAGCAAGAAAAGTAATAATACTAGTGCTCTCATACTCCACTAGTACTCACATACTCCACCACTAGTACTATCATACTCCATCACTAGTACTATCATACTCCATCACTAGTACTGTCATACTCCACCACTAGTACTGTCATACTCCACCACTAGTGATCTCATACTCCACTAGTACTCTCATACTCCGCCACTAGTGCTCTAATACCCCACCACTAGTAATATCATACTCCATCACTAGTACTATCATACTCCACCACTAGTGCTCTAATACTCCAATACTAGTACTATCATACTCCATCATTAGTACTATCATACTCCATCACTAGAACTATCATACTCCATCACTAGTACTGTCATACTCCACCAATAGTGCTCTCATACTCCACTAGTACTCTCATACTCCACCACTAGTGCTCTAATACTCCACCACTAGTAATATTATACTCCATCACTAGTACTATCATACTCCATCACTAATACTATCATACTCCATCACTAGTACTATCATGCTCCACCACTAGTACTATCATACTCCACTAGTACTATCATACTCCACCACTAGTATTATCATACTCCATCACTGGTATTATCATAATCCTTCACTAGTACTATCATAATCCATCACTAGTACTTTCATACTCCACTAGTGCTCTCATACTCCACCACTAGTGCTCTCATACTCCACCACTAGTACTCTCATACTCCACTACTAGTACTCTCATACTCCACTACTAGTACTATCATACTCCATCACTAGTACTATCATAGTCCATCGCTAGTACTATCATACTCCACCAATAGTGCTCTCATACTCCACTAGTACTCTCACATTCCACCACTAGTACTATCATACTCCATCACTAGTACAATCATACTCCATCACTAGTACTATTATACATCACTAGTACTCTCATACTCCACCACGAGTACTGTCATACTCCACCACGAGTAATATCATACTCCATCACCAGTAGTATCATACTCCATCACTAGTAGTATCATACTCCAACACGAGTGCTATCATACTCCATCACTAGTATTATCATACTCCATCAATTGTACTATCATACTCCACTCGTACTATCATACTCCATCACTAGTACTATCATACTCCACTAGTACTATCATACTCCATCACTCGTGCTATCATACTCCATCACTAGTACTCTCATACTCCATCACTAGTATTATCATACTCCATCCCTAGTACTATCATACTCCATCACTAGTACTATACTCCATCACTAGTACTATCATACTCCATCACTAGTACTCTCATACTCCACTAGTACTATCATACTCCATCATTAGTACTCTCATACTCCACTAGTACTATCATACTCCATCATTACTCTCATACTCTACTAGTACTATCATACTCCATAACTAGTACTATCATACTCCATCACTAGTACTCTCATGCTCCATCACTAGTACTATCATACTCCATCATTAGTACTCTCATACTCCACTAGTACTATCATACTTCATCACTAGAACTCTCATACCCTACTAGTACTATCATACTCCATAACTAGTACTATCATACTCCATCACTAGTACTACCATATTCCATCACTAATACTATCATACTCCACTACTATCATATTCCATCACTAGTACCCTCATACTCCATCACTAATACTCTCATACTCCATCACTAGTACTATCAAACTTCACTAGTACTATCATACTCCATCACTAGTACTATCATACTCATCACTAGTACTATCATACTCTATCACTAGTACTCTCATACTCCATCACTAGTACTCTCTGTGAGGGAAAAGTTCAATAGATAGGAGTAGCAAGGGAGTGTATAGTAACAATAGTTTCATTGCCGGCTGCTTGTTAAGGTAGGGTCAGTCTAGCTCCCGCTATCCCTTCCCCTCCCTCTTCCCCCTCTCCCCGAAAGGTGACGTGTGGGGCTCCGGTCAAACAGTAAATCACTCGACTCACAGCTCCCAACACTTTTGTTGGTACATGCCTGATCATATTTTAGTGGACTTATTGGTTGAAAGCTTCACTTTTGACCAATAATTAGCTTAGTCCTTTCAGTCTTTAGCTGTTAAATGTTTTAATAATCACCACATCTTTTAGGTATTGTACTTATCATGGAGAGTGATTTCTTAAGCAGTGGGTAATCTGTCTCTCTTTACAGATTGGAATGACAGAGAGGGTCACCTGCCAACCAACGAGAAGAATAGAAGGAGACGGACTAACGTCCTGAGACGTCCCATGTTTAATCTACTTACCTGTTATGTAAGCCAACGCAGGACCTAACCCCTCATCATAGCAGTGGTAACGAACCTGTTTTCCTGTCATCTGAAGTAATTACTCACGGCCATACTCTGTGAAGAACGAGCCGGTGGTGGTCACCAACACCTGCTACCCTTCCCTCCCACATCAGCAATGGCTACGATTTCAACAACACGCAGTGTCACCAACACCTGACACCCCATTACCACGATATACCTATATTACCGTTGAGTTCAAATGTAATCTTTTTAATTTCATTTTTCATTTTTCTTTCAATTAGGATACCCATTCATGTTTTATTGTTTTACATTTTCCATTTCTAAATAATAAAATGTTTATCATTGTCTGTTATTATTTCTTTTACTATTCATTAATTTTCCTGAGGAGGAGCCAGCCTTGGTAATGCTGACTGAAGTTGTTTCAGGGCTAAGTAAGCCTTCACACTCTCATACTCCATCACTAGTACTATCAAACTCCATCACTAGTAGTATCATACTCCATCACTAGTACCATCATTCTCCATCACTAGTACTATCATACTCCATCACTAGTACTATCATACTCCATCACTAGTACTATCATTCTCCATCACTAGTACTATCATACTCCATCACTAGTACTATTATACTCCATCACTAGTACTATCATTCTCCATCACTAGTACTATCATATTCCATCACTAGTACTATTATACTCCATCACCAGTACTATCATACTCCATCACTAGTACTGTCACACTCCACCAGTACTATCATACTCCATCACCAGTACTATCATACTCCATCACTAGTACCATCATTCTCCATCACTAGTACTATCATACTCCATCACTAGTACTATCATACTCTATCACTAGTACTTTCATACTCCATCACTAGTACTATCATACTCCATCACTAGTAATATCATACTCCATCACTAGTTCTATCATACTCCATCACCAGTACTATCATACTCCATCACTAGTACTGTCACACTCCACCAGTACTATCATACTCCATCACTAGTACTTTCATACTCCATCACTAGTACTATCATACTCCATCACTAGTACTTTCATACTCCATCACTAGTACTATCATACTCCATCACTAGAACTTTCATACTCCATCACTAGTACTATCATATTCCATCACTAGCACTCTCATACTCCATCAGTAGTACTATCATACTCCATCACTAGTACTATCATACTCCATCACCAGTACTATCATACTCCATCACCAGTACTATCATACTCCATCACTAGTACTGTCACACCCCACCAGTACAATCATACTCCAACACTAGTACTATCAAACTCCATCACTAGTACTATCATACTCCATCACCAGTACTATCATACTCCATCACTAGTACTGTCACACTCCACCAGTACTATCATACTCCATCAGTAGTACTTTCATACTCTATCACTAGTACTATCACACTCCATCACTAGTACTATCATACTCCATCACTAGTTAACCCTGGTGCATAAGCCGTACTAGTACGTCGGAAACCCTGAAAGGGTTAAAGCTCAAGCTCTGTGAAATGTTTCATGGAGTATTTTGGTTGCCCAAAATAAGTTTCCACATCTATGTTTGGAGCACTAGTGGTAACAATGTAGATCTACATTTGGACAGTTTAAGTGTTAACCACAAGTGCAAGTTTTTACAGACGAGTCTTCCGCTAGCATGGCCGTGTCATTACGATTTTGTGAGTCATGTTGACGGCTTTGAGGGGACTTGAGCTAGAGTTCGTCATGGCCATGCTAGCGGGAGATTCGTCTGTAAGGGCTTGCATAAGTGCTAACCCTTGAACTGTCCAAATGTAGATCTACGTTTGCACGCGTAGAGCTCCGAACGTAGATCTATGTTTTATTTTTCATTCATTCAGATTTGGTGCAATAGGCTTGAGTCACCTAGACATGAAAGAATGGGTCTGTGCACTCAGTGTGCACAGTATTTAAAAAATCCGGGACCGCTTAGTATCTTGTGGGAGCACCAGTTCAACTGAGCGCTAACTAGAGCATATAGCATGGCAAACACCAGGGTTTCATTGATGCCATGTCGCATTAACACTCCCCTTTCAAGAGGAAAGTAAAAATAGGTTAGATAAATACATGAGTGAGTGTGGGTGGGTGTGAGTTGGACCTGACTAGCTTGTGCTACTAGGTCTGATGTCGTGCTTTCTTCAGTGGATGTGACCTGACTAGGTGGGTCATTGGTCTAAGCCAGAGGGGGTGACATGGACCTGCCTTGCATGGGCCAGTAGGCCTGCTGCAGTGTTCCTTCTTTCTTATGTTCTTATATTCTTATCATACTCCATCACCAGTACTATCATACTCCATCACCAGAACTTTCATATTCCATCACTAGTACTATCACACTCCATCACTAGCACTCTCATACTCCATCAGTACTATCATACTCCCTCACCAGTACTATCATACTCCATCACCAGAACTTTCATACTCCATCACTAGTACTATCATACTCCATCATTAGTACTCTCATACTCCACTAGTACTATCATACTTCATCACTAGTACTCTCATACCCTACTAGTACTATCATACTCCATAACTAGTACTCTCATACTCCATCACTAATACTCTCATACTAAATCACTAGTACTAGCAAACTCCGTCACTAGTACTATCATACTCCATCACTAGTACTATCATACTCCATCACTAGTACTATCATACTCCATCACCAGTACAATCATACTCCACCAGAACTTTCATACTCCATCACTAGTACTATCATACTCCATCACTAGCACTCTCATACTCCATCAGTAGTACTATCATACTCCATCATTAGTACTCTCATACTCCACTAGTACTATCATACTTCATCACTAGTACTATCATACCCTACTAGTACTATCATACTCCATCACTAGTACTATCATACTCCATCACTAGTACTATCATACTCCATCACTAGTACTATCATACTACACTAGTACTCTCATACTCCACCATGAGTACTGTCATACTCCACAACGAGTACTATCATACTCCATCACCAGTAGTATCATACTCAATCACTAGCACTCTCATACTCCATCACTAGTACTATCATACTCCATCACCAATACTATCATACTTCATCACTAGTATTATCATACTCCATCACCAGTAGTATCATACTCTATCACTAGTACAATCATACTCCACTAGTACTATCATACTCCATCACCAGTAGTATCATACTCCATCACTAGTACTATCATACTCCATCACCAGTAGTATCATACTCCATCACTAGTACTATCATACTCCATCACCAGTAGTATCATACTCCATCACTAGTACTATTCTCCATCACTAGTACTATCATACTCCATCACTAGTACTATCATACTCCATCACCAATAGTATCATACTCCATCACTAGTACTATCATATTCCATCACCAGTAGTATCATACTCCATCACTAGTAGTATCATACTCCATCACTAGTACCATCATTCTCCATCACTAGTACTATCATACTCCATCACTAGTACTATCATTCTCCATCACTAGTACTATCATACTCCATCACTAGTACTATTATACTCCATCACTAGTACTATCATTCTCCATCACTAGTACTATCATACTCCATCACTAGTACTATCATACTCCATCACTAGTACTATCATTCTCCATCACTAGTACTATCATACTCCATCACTAGTACTATTGTACTCCATCAGTAGTACTATCATTCTCCATCACTAGTGCTATTATACTCCACTAGTACTGTCATTCTCCATCACTAGTACTATCATACTCCATCACTAGTACTATCATTCTCCATCACTAGTACTATCATACTCCATCACTAGCACTATCATACTCCATCACTAGTCCTATCATACTCCATCACTAGTACTATCACACTCCACTAGTACTATCATTCTCCATCACCAGTAGTATCATACTCCATCACTAGTGTTCTCATACTCCATCACTAGTACTATCATACTCCATCACTAGTACTATCATACTACATCACTATTACTACATACTCCATCACTAGTACTATTATTCTCCATCAGTAGTATCATACTCCATCACTAGTACTAGCATACTCCATCACTAGTACTATCATTCTCCATCACCAGTAGTATCATACTCCATCACTAGTACTATCATGCTCCATCACTAGTACTATCATACTCCATGACTAGTACTATCATACTCCATCACTAGTACTATCATACTCCATCACTAGTACTATCATACTCCATCACTAGTACTAGTATACTCCATCACTAGTACTACCATACTCCATCACTAGTACTAAACTCCATCACTAGTACTATCATACTCCATCACTAGTACTATCATACTCCATCACTAGTACTATACTCCATCACTAGTACTATCATACTCCATCACTAGCACTATCATACTCCATCACTAGTACTATCATACTGCATCACTAGTACTATCACTCCATCACTAGTACTATCACACTCCATCACTAATACTATCATTGTCCATCACCAGTAGTATCATACTCCATCACGAGTACTATCATTCTCCATCACCAGTAGTATCATACTCCATCACTAGTACTATCATACTCCATCACTAGTACTATACTCCATCACTAGTACTATCATACTCCATCACTAGCACTATCATACTCCATCACTAGCACTATCATACTCCATCACTAGCACTATCATACTCCATCACTAGCACTATCATACTCCATCACTAGCACTATCATACTCCATCACTAGCACTATTATACTCCATCACTAGTACTACCATACTCTATCACTAGTACTATACTCCATCACTAGTACTATCATACTCCATCACTAGCACTATCATACTCCATCACTAGCACTATCATACTCCATCACTAGTACTATCATACTCCACTTGTACTATCATACTCCACTAGCACTATCATACTCCATCACTAGTACTATCATACTCCATCACTAGTACTATCATACTCCATCACTAGTACTATCATACTCCATCACTAGTACTATCATACTCCATCACTAGTACTATCATACTCCATCATTAGTACTATCATACTCCATCACTAGCACTATCATACTCCATCACTAGTACTATCATACTCCATCACTAGCACTATCATACTCCATCACTAGTACTATCATACTCCATTACTAGTACTATCATACTCCATCATTAGTACTATCATACTCCATCACTAGCACTATCATACTCCATCACTAGTACTATCATACTCCATCACTAGTATTATCATACTCCATCACTAGCACTATCATACTCCATCACTAGCACTATCATACTCCATCACTAGCACTATCATACTCCATCACTAGCACTATCATACTCCATCACTAGCACTATCATACTCCATCACTAGTACTATCATACTCCATCACTAGCACTATCATACTCCACTAGTACTATCATACTCCATCACTAGTACTATCATACTCCATCACTAGTACTATCATACTCCATCACTAGCACTATCATACTCCATCACTAGCACTATCATACTCCATCACTAGCACTATCATACTCCATCACTAGCACTATCATACTCCATCACTAGCACTATCATACTCCATCACTAGCACTATCATACTCCATCACTAGCACTATCATACTCCACTAGCACTATCATAATTAATCATTGTCTTGCATGTTAGTTATACAATAAGATATTTTAACATTGAAAATTACGTAAAAAACATGACTAAGAACAATACAAGTCATGATAATTAAAGGGCCGGCATGTATACACTGAGAGGTGTATATATATAAATCTATATATACACCACTTCACGATATATACGCCTCTTCAGGGGTATCCTTGTATATATGGATGTTTGACATAAACTGATTTTGAATGTTGTGGAGAGTGCCTGCAGTCTTAATTAACCATCGTGCAGTAGACAGGCTTCACACCTAGCAAACTACCACATAGATGTTTTATTTTTATTAGCCCACAGGGGGGAACGTGTGAAAATTGTATTTTTCACGAGCAGATATTTAGATAATACACAACAGTGTTAATGTGCAGAGTCGGGAGTGTAATCTTGTTAGTGCACAACATTACTGTTATGATCCCCTACTTGGGACGTGTCTTCATCCGTGACTCTGACGCTGCCTTCTGGCTTTTCATCCAAGGACGTTACCATGATCTTAATGAATATAAAAATAATCAAGTTTCTGAAGATTGCTGGTTAACAATGATAGATGAATTTATTAATATCTATAAGAAGGGTTGAAATAAAATTTGTTTATAAAACCATGATTTTCTGTCATGGGTTTCGTGCTTTCGTGTTTTTTCATTTCTTTATATAGCTCACAATAGATATCCGAGAGCTCTAATTCATGTGCAGAGTTCCTGAGCACTTCACAGAGACTCATGACGAAGTAAGTGCCGCGGGTATGTGAGCGCTTAGCCATGATGCCCTCAGAGACGGCGTGGAGGGTGATCATGTGACTCGGGACATCCTGCACTGTATCCAGATCCTTCCTCTCTAGATGGTCGCCTCGGCAGTAGTTTGTGAAGATCAGTTTAGGCTTCCCCTTTAAATACGGACATTGTCTGTCAGTAAAAAAGTTTCTGACGGTGAAAAGACTTAGCTCATTTTGGTCGTTAGTGTAAAATGAATAAGCATCCCTTCCGTGACTTAATATTACAAGGATTACCACGTCTATAGTACTTAATTTGGGATTCTTCCTGATCTTGTTAAATGCTTCACGAGTTTGATCCAAGTTCAAGTCTTCATAGAGGTGAATTTCGTAGCCCATTTTGGTAAAAGTTTCATTGAGATTCCTGGAGTCGATTTCAGCCCCGGTGCGCTGCCATTTAGCGCCTTGTCCCAGGAACTTGTTGTTGAAGACATAAACATAACCTCGGGGCTGAGAACTCACTTGGTACGTCCCTCGCCCTCGCTCGCCCTCACTCTGTGGATATTTAAATGTTATTTGTGTGACGAATTAAAACAACTAATTACATTCTTCCTGTAAAACATTTTTTTTATTCGGTAGAATTGCAACATTTATAATACACCTGTGCGTGTATAATATACCTGTGCGTGTATAATACACCTGTGCGTGTATAATACACCTGTGCGTGTATAATACACCTGTGCGTGTATAATACACCTGTGCGTGTCATCAGGTTCCTTGTCACCTGTCGATAATGCACTCTTAACATATATACAATGAGAGATACGCACCTCTCAGTGTATATCCCGTGTTTTTTGCTTAGTAGTAGAGGCGGCCTCGTCACAAAACCTCTTCAGTAATATTCTTACGATTAGAAAATGGGGAAAAAAAAAAACAAGTCTTTGAACTGCAACAACTCATGAAAACCAAATATATTTTATTGGTATATAATAACGCTTTAAAATTGTTTTAAATAATGTACTTATAACAGGATTTATATTCCAAATGCAGCAATTCTTTGCTGTGACTTCACAGTACAAGGCACAGCCTCACCACTTGCTATTAAAAATATTCTCAATATATGATATATATTAGTCAGTTTACATGCCAAGTTTGGAATATACAATTTGAATAAATCTGCCGATAAAGTATTACAGGAAAATGATTAAAAAGCGGAAAATTTAGTTGATAAGGCAAACCAATGACAAGAAATAGATAATTGCACTTAATTTAACAATTATTTTTAGCTCGTTATATATATTATATAAATATATATATATATATATATAATATATATATATTTTATATATTATATAAATATATTATAATATATTATATTTTAAATCAAAAAAGGAATATCTAATTAAAAATTAGTTAATAGCCTTTTGGCATAACTCTAGCAACTTTTAATAATTTGTCGTACAAAAATTTTCCACTTCTAATTCCGAGCACTTCCCGAGTGAACTAAGCTTCCCAGATACTGTGCTTTCAACGAGAGGGACCCGCATGAGCGTTCCTAAACGCCAACGAAGCCCACAATGAGACATGGCCCAATTTAGGAAGTGCCAGGGTCGGTCAGAAGCCCTGGCTAACCCCTCTTCTAGTAGAAACAGTAGACAGATCTGGAGGTGAGATGACAAGAATACGGCAGTATAACACAATGGCCCTATGTCCTCCTCCGTCGACCCCTTCATATTTCTGCTGCCCTTGCCCAAGGAGTTATAGAGAGCTCCCTGGGTCAATAGCCTGCACCCTAGTCAAGCCAATCGCAACATTTACTACTATCCAGTGAAGCTTGGGAAATGATGTTTAGAGTGGTATTAGTATGGTGTCTCTACTGATAGGGGATGATCTATTTTATGTCAGCTGTTGGGACAATTATGTGTTGTATATTATGTGAGTTAGCTCCTTGCCGGGGGAGATCACAGTAGAGATAGGATGTATTTACTTTTCAGGTGGAGAACTGTAAACAAAAATCTTCTCAACGTTAGAAGAGGATTCATTTATGTGAGGGATGGGAGGTTTTCTTTTAGTTCCTAGAAATGGGATAATGATGGGTCTTGGTTGCGATTCCTGCCTTGTCACGGATGGTCACTGAAAGGTGCAAGAAAAATGTGACATTGTGGTCGTGTAATGCTTCAGTGTGTGTTATATAATATTATATATATAATATATTATATAATATATATATATAATATATATATATATATAATTATATAATATAATATATATATATAGTATATATATATATATATATAATATATAATTATATAATACATTATATATATATGTCGTGCCGAATATGTTAAAAAATGGTCAAATTTGCAAGAACTCATTTAAAATTAAGTCCTTTCTGAAATTTTCTCTTATTTCGTTTAAAGATATATTTTTTTTTTATTAATGTTAATGTAAAAACTTTTAATTTTGCACCAAAAGAATCTTAAAAACTTACCTAACCTTATTATAACAAGAGCAATTTATTTTAGCCTAACCCAACTAAATACATTTAAATACGTTTACAATAATTTGGTACTAAACAAACACAATCAAATCTATTTTTTTCGTTAGGTTCAGAATGATTTGGAGAAATTATTGCATGCACAAAATTTTCACTTGTCCTATATGGCAAGATGAACGTTTTCTGTTTAAGCCAAGATCGCAAGTTCTGCCTATTCGGCCCCGACATACATATATTTATTGCATACATAAATATTAAATTACATATATATTAATAATATATATATATAATATATATATATATATATATATATATTATATACATATATACTATATATATATATATATAAAATATTATATATATATATATATATTATATATATATATACATATATAATACATATATATATATATTTAATATATAAAAATATACATATATATATATATACATATATATATATATTTTATATATATAAAATTTTATATATATATATATATATATATATATATATATATATATACATATATATATATACACATATATTTATATGTCGTGCCGAATAGGCAGAACTTGCGATCTTGGCTTAAATAGCAACGCTCATCTTGCCATATAGGACAAGTGAAAATTTGTGTATGCAATAATTTCGCCAAATCATTCTGAACCTAACGAAAAAAATATATTTCACTGTGTTTGTTCAGTATTAAATTACTGAAAACAAACTAAAAATATTTAGTTGGGTTAGGCTA